AAGACGCAAGATTCCTATTTTGGGGTATAAAATGTTGTCACAGTGGTAATACACTATTTGAAACGGACCTATACGAAGTACCTTTCTTTGGCGACGCTAGGGAAAACAGCATCTCTCGATAAACAGAGATAAATACTTAGATCCTGAGGGGGTGCCTTAATTCCGACCTACCCCTAATTCCGTACTAGTTTGAAAAATCCTGGTTGCGGCGTTATGCATGGGAGCACGTGCCTAAAAATAACCACAAGAATGGACAAAGTTTTTGTGATGATGTCCGTAATCTCACAAAGTTTGTTTTAGTTCGTACACTCCGACAACAGACGAGTGAAAAATCTGTTTAAATTCGACGCTTGTTCGTTACCGTTACCTCAGAAGGGAGTTAGTCACGAAAAGGAACTTAGCCACGGAGGGAGTTTGGGCATTGGCCCGTCAATAATTAACTCGTTCCCCGGACAGTCTGCCTCGTCCAGCATGATCTCCTTCCCAGGATCGTCTGTGTGACGAACCCAGGCGCCAGAAGCCATCATGCGGCTGTATAATGTATTGCACAAAAGACTCACACACGCATATTCAATAGGGTTCTTTAATAGGACGCTGTGTAGGAGCATGTGGCGGTCTAAAGCCCCGCGGACACTTTTGTAATACTGGATGTTTCCCAGATCGGACAAGTGTAGGCCGTCAGGCGCAAAGTAGTTTGCAATTTGGGTTGCGTCTCCACAGACGTCTGTGGTCCCATACTGTGACCTTGGGGTAGTTCTGCACAAGTCCCTTCAGCGCCTCCGTGAATTTCTGAAGGCGCTGAGGAAAGTCAGACATGATATGGAATATGGAGACACCAGATATCTGGGGAACCTTGGACGAGCGCCCGGTCTGCTTTATGGTGGAGACCCACTGGGTGTACACATAGCGTGTCTATTATATATGGCAATACCTATTATAAAGCTCATCCTTATTTGGTAATACTTGCGTCAGATACCATTCTTTTCTAATAACTATACCTTACTCACGTACTTCCTAAATAATCAAACAAATCCATACGAATGTGAGTTACAGCTCAGGGTACACATTTCATCAGTCGTTGATGCATGCATCATATTAGCATCCTCAAAAACAAACAATACAACTTCCTACATACAATACGGTGTTAAAAGCACACACATTTTGACATACTAGTAGTACTAAAACAACAATCCGTTATAAGAAAAATTCCTTTTAAACAAGGTATTAATATCAAAAGGGCTACAAATTTATACTATAATATAACTAGAGGTCCCCGATCTCATACCTTCGCCAAATGATGTTAATCTTTATGACTGACAAATTATAGATTATTCTCCCTGATTTAACAAATAGGGTGCTCATTTCCATTCTCATTTTCATGGATATCAATTTATCATATTCGCAATGTACAGTCTTATATTAACAAACAATGCCATTCTAGCATTTCCTAATAAATTATGCAAATGAGGTCCTAATTTGAATACATTATGTTTTCATAAGATAAAGATAAGTGTTCACCTTCACTTATCTTTCAAATACCACAAGTATGAAATTCCAGGCACTTATCATTACATAATTATAAAATTAATTATGCAAATTAGGTCTTCATTTACATAATCAATATCTGCCTGTGTTTCTCTCGTTCTCAATTACCAATTTCACGAGCTTCAATAGTCCTATCATGGAATGCAGCTGATTTATAGAATTTCCCCATAGATTATGCAAATCACATAATTATATCAAGCATCACGTAAGCTACCTCCATACCAACAATAACGACTATCTATCAACCGGTTCTTGAGTTATCCTCTTTTGAATACTTTCAAACATATAGCCCTGCAGTTCCAGAGCAAGCCGCTAGGGGGTCTAAACTCACGTCACTTCTTCCCCAGCACAAGAGCTACCTACCATCTAAATTTCGTCACCTAACATGTTTAGATCATGAGATATGAAAACCGGAAGTTTAGCTGCAGTACCATAACAAGCCGCTAGGGGGCCCCAAATCTAGTCATTTTGAGGTCTCATCAAGACCTACCCACCTACCAAATATCAAGACAATCCATCAAGGCCTTGTCAAGTTATCTTGTTTACAGACACACAGACACGCACACACATACACGAACGCCTCTGAAAACATAACCTTCTTGGCGAAGGTAATAATTTTATTATTAAAATACGTCGCCGGTGTGTTTTTTAAACACCACCCTTGTTAAATTTTATTGTGGGGATATGCTCCTAGGAATACTCTAAAAAGCGCCAGAAGGAGACAAATCTGGATAAATAAATAAAGAACTAGAAAGAACATTGGTACAATGCAGATTCATGTGACTTCCATTGGTACAATGCAGATTCATTTTACTTCCATTGGTACAATGCAGATTCATTTTACTTCCATTGTTGCTATGCAGATTCATTTTACTTCCATTGTTATCATACAGATTCATTTTACATCCTTTGTTACTATGCAGTGTCATTCTATTTCCATCGTTACTATGCAGATTTATTGTATTTCCATTGTTACTATGCGGATTCATTTTTGTTCAATTATATTGTTTCTATGCAGATTAACATTACTTCCATTGTTATTATACATATTCTTAGTACTTCAGAATGAATGTTACTATAGACAATAATCCCCCTTTCAATGTTGCCACACATGATGATTTCATTTGTAATATAGTGTTGCTATACAAAGTTATTTCAATTGTACAGTTAGTATTATATTATACAATTGTACAGTTAAGTATTATATTACTATTTGTGACAAAGTAATCTTTTACAAAAATGTCCATTGCAAAATATTTCAAACAGGAAAAACACATCGTTTCTCTTTCATACTATCTAAATTTGAAAAAATCAACTCTGTTTACCCTTGTTTAACTACCATAAAACAGCAAGTTGTGACTAATACGTATATGATATTATGAATTCTTGTCGTTTCTTACCTGCTCAGTCATGCTGAAACTTAATTCCTATTTGCTGATTATACCAATTATTGCCGCCAAATAATTCGCACAAGTCCGTGTTTTGACCGTGCGTCAATTCTAACTTTACACGTGTAACTACCAACACAGATGAAAAGTACATTGCCAGATGCTATTCGTGATTTTATGACATGGTCTTGTTTGATCCGTGTTATAATCCGGCGTTTGGACAGGCCTCCCCAAACCGGGCTAGCATACTCTAATACAGGGCGTATAAACACTGACAAAGCACTGACAAGGTAAATCTGTACAAGTATATCTGAGGACAGTCCTGCCTTCTTAGCAACAGCTACTAGTAGTAGATAGTGAATTCTCGGGCGTGTTCTCGTCAACATATACTGAATGTGAGCGTCCCATGTCAAATCATCTGATACAAAAACACCAAGCAGTTAGATCTGATGACCGTCTACAGTCAACTGGGGGGGATTTGGAGCGTTTTCCCTTCTCCTTGCACTGATCACCATGTCCTTTGTTTTCTTGGAGTTCGCTGAGAGAGAAAAGTCTCCCCCCCCCATGTAACAACAGAGTCCAGCGCTCTTTGAGACTGTCCATCAGGATTTCAGAATGTTCAGCTGTACTCATTGATGTGATAAGTTTTTATTATGTATTTTATCGCTAATTATGCAGATGTATGTGAGATTTTATGCTATCTTATCTATTGTAATAATTGAGTACATGTTGTAAATATTCGACATATTTTATGCACTTAATGTGACATGCCAGTCGATACTCTATAAAATCTGAATCTGAATCTGTATCAGCCACATTGAGTCTGTGTAAACCCTTTCAACAGCACCACGCCTGTATCTTCTATGTCTTCTTCGGGAGTCAGCGACAGAGTCCTGACGTAAATCCTTTCTTGACTGTACGAGTGTACGTGGTGAGTTGTCCACATCGTCTTCTCGTCGAAGTAGTACATGAGTTTGGTGTCGTCCTTGTCGGAGGGAACGAGCTCGTAGACACGGACCCAGTCGCAGAGGTGTAACATCATCACAACACCTGTAATACAGCATATAAAAACTTATTTTATGTTAATGATTAGGCCTCAGCAAGTAAATTTTATGGATGACATCCTCTGCAGCCTCCAAATCTAATGCGAGCGGACGAAAAAAAAAACCAAGGGGTGTCGAAAAAACAAGCTTAATGTTCCCAAAAATTTTAAATTTTGGCTCAATCATTGTACAAATGGTTTTGATTCAGTGAAAACATCACATATACACAGCCAGCATCACATATCACAGCATCAAAGTGAAAAACAAGACTTTTTGTCTTCTCTCTTCATAGTTATCTGCCATCCACCTTCCGGCATGACAACAGGTATCTTTGCCCATTTTCGGCATGTTGACTACTGACTGTCAGAGGGCAAAAACATTTCTTGTTTTTTTGTTGTTTTCAAAATCAGGCGAAAATTAATGCGCGCGCTGATGTCATCCATAAAAATCACTTCCTTTGGCCTTATCACTGTAAACAAATGAACAGTTTTGTGACAGCAAAGTGTACAAAGATGCCAGAAATGTATATGTATGTATAATTGGCAGAAACATTTTAGGGGGAAAAGCAGCAAGATGACTAGGGTACTTGTACACGTGGCAATGGACACGAAGGTTGAGAAATCCTCACCAAGCATGCCTGAACTTGGGCGCAGTTTTGTCCTGTCGCACATTCCTGTTGTTTTACAGAACCGAGCCAATTCCGCCATTATATCCTGCCCAAATCTCGGCCTCTGTATAAACGGCTTAGCTCTGTTGGGAAAGGTATTCCGGTATTTGATCAAGTTGGAAAACGACTGGCGAGTATTCTGTTTCACGTTCAAAGAGCCTCTACGTCCAAAGTTAATTCCGTCCATGTTTCCAACGACCAAAGTTGCGTGTGTGAACATGGCGCTTTTCTCGCTCCAGAATTCCTTCTGGCAGCTTCGCAGAGGAATGAGTGTGTTGATCATGCGAATGTCCGTCCGGCTGCCGACCAACTTCTCAAACTTGTCAGTCGGAGCACAGTTGAATCTTAACACGGCATCGTGACTGTCTGAAAGAATGAAAAGTATATTCAATTAGAAACTATAGTATGAAGTGACAACAGTTGGATAGCTATCCCCTACATTATTGGTTAGGAATTTTAATTGCATAATCATGCAAACTGTTGATTTTCAAGATAAAAAGAAGCGTTTATGCCCCGCATTCCAATGCTGGAGCAGGAGAGCTTGACATAAGTATAAAAAATTTGAATGTAGTTCATACTGTCAATATGGCATAGCTTTGTACAGGTGTTAATTGAGTTAACCCAATCAAATCCCAACAGCCAATCAGCAAGAAGAATAGAGGAACGTCCATTCCGACTAACCTATTTCCTTCCCGTACCCGTGAAACGTCAGTGCGTGGCTACTACTGACGACTGCGCACGAGTTAAAGTGCACCAACTTCTCCAGACTCTCCTCCGGCAGCATGGCGGCGTTTCCATCTTTGGACGCCTGTTTTCTTCTGATGGTGGAAAACGGCACGTTCTTCTTCAGAGCACACAGCAGTTCTTCTCTCAATGTAGAAGCACACGGCATTCCCTCCCCCGAGTTTCCTGTGTGATTGGACGAAACTTTCTCTGATGTCGCTGCCAAGATGTCATCACCCATTAGTCCAGATTGCTTGCCACCTTGCACGTTGAGTGAAGGAGTGACTTTTTGTACCGCTAACATTTCAAGTTTGACACCATTGGTGATCTTATATGGCACACGCACCATCCTGGCTTTCAGAGTCTTGCTCAGTATCCCGTAGAGCAGTACACAGACACACAGCCCGGACAAGATAAACGGTATTGTCCGTTTTCTCATCACGCATGTAGCTGCTGACCGACCTCCGAGGTGATGTGTACAATAGAGTCATCGAGAACCACCGACGTCCAGAGAATCATGCTGCTCAAGATGTCTTACTGAGGAATGATTGTGGTACAAAATATGTCGGTTAGCTAAATACTATTTCATCCTTACTCATATCACAACTAGCTATCATCTCAATTTATACCACAACTAGCTATCATACTGAAACAACTGAACACTATACTTTCTACATTGTAAACTGTATTCCAGTCAAACAAGTACTCTGTTGTTATCTCTCTCCAACATAGTAGAGCTACAGAATCTCAGTGACAGTTCCCTATGTTCCTTACTACTTCGAGGGTCCACATCACTTTCCCACCTACAAAACTGTAATGTTTTTGATGTAGTTCAAAACTTCATTTACTGTACGGGTAGATTCAATTGATAGATCACCAAGTTGTCTTGTTACTCCGTGAAGGAGGTCAGGACCTCCGGACGGAGTGTTGTGAACGGCTGGTTTTTCGTGTTCGCAGTCAAAACACTGGGTTCTCTTTGTGTAATCGGCACACAATTTTATACGCCATCTGCGGGCATGCCCGTGTTGATGCACGAATGTGTATTTTTGCCGTCGCTGCTTTCGCGGTCAATGTAATATTGCAGATGCACCCCTACAATTACGAGGCGAATTGGAATGGTCCAGAAAAACGCGTTGTTTGGAATAGCAGTGGGGGGTGGAACTTCATGCAGATACGGGGTGGTTTTGATAAGTGGTTCCAGATGTTTTTGGCCGTACTTAAGAGATGACAAGTTTTTTGGAAGATGTTCGCAGCCAAAACGCATTCTTCCGTACGTCGCATTTCTGTGTAATTTCGCATGTGGTGTGGCATTATGTCCGGGATGATGCACGTTTTTTTATTTTTACCGTAGCTGTTTTGATATTTGAGTAAATGCTTATTTTCGAAACATCCCCATGTCGTTGAAATATGTTTTCGTCCGTTTATGTGACCGGTAGTACTTAGTAAGTGGCGGTCAGGCTGATGGGGACGGAAATGTGGGGTGGTCAGAGGTCAACATTACGAAATGTAAACACCGATGACGTATTCCTATCGATTTCAAACTGGTCGGCCGTGGCGACCTAGTGGCGGCGTGTATTTAGTCACGTAGCAACTGGCCGGTCGTCCTAGCAACGAGCATGCTGGCCGCTTCACTGTACACATGGCCAATATTTTTGGGTTGGGCCGCTCCATAGTGTTAGTGGAGCAGCTCTTTGTAAACATGGACAATATTTTTGAGCAACCCATCAATGTGTTCTGCCTCGTGGTCGGATGTGTTCTGCCTCGTGGTCGGATGTGGTCTGGGGCTGGTAAACCGCACATACTAGTAGATTGGGTAATTTTATGATTTGCTAGTTGTAAAGGCGTCTTGTAGTATGAGCCGGTATATGAAGAAGTAGCCTGTGTTACACAATCATGCTTTCGGCCGGATTGATGTGCAACTGTTACTAATTACATGGACTGCCGCTGCGCTAATGCCGACTGGTTGCTTGGCCAGTCGCGCTGTCCTGATACACCGCGAATGTTGGGCAATATGCGAGTGTTCCCTGTAGACAGTCCCGGGAGTCATTTTTTTCGCACATTCGCACATTCCAGGAGCCAAACCAAAATACGTTCATGAACCGAGTCCAAAAAACCGAAACGTGAAAATCGGATGATCGGACCTGATGTACATTTCTCTTTCTGTAGATTGTACACACAATACACACATCTTTAGATAATCTGGCCATGGCAGGTAAAAAAAAAGTAACCCAGAATCATACTAGATTAGCGTAAATGCATGTTTATGCGTTCAAAACAAGAAAAGAAATTGTTTCCCGGTATTAATCTCTTGAAGCACGGCGCTGAATATTGACGCAAAAATATTTCGGGCATCGCGCGCCTTTCCCCGTTGTTTAGACTGTATGCAAATCCCGCGTCACGTGTCGGCATTTCGCATCTCTGATTGGTTGTTGCGTCTTAAGATGACTGAGCCGACGCGCGTTTAAAAAATTTTTTTTGTTCGATTTATCACACTTCACAGAGAATTGTCGCCAATGGCTACTTCTTTTTGTTGCAATATATGACACTTCACGGAGAATTGTCGCCTATGGCTTCTTGTTTGTATTTGGTTTTATCCACCTTGTAATTATGCATGTATTTTGTCAATGTGTGTTATACTCGTTGAATATTTTTGAGTAGAAGGTGTTATATAAGCATCTTTTGCTTTTTGCCCAATACTCAATAAATATATGTGAATAAACAAAAAAAAAACCCAGTATTTCTTTCGTACTGATGAAGACCGAGTGATTCGGTCGAAAATTCCGGTGAGTCAATTTTCGGATAACAGTTTAATTCTCAACATGTATACCAACTCAGATGAAGTTTCGTGCCAGTATTTCTTTTGTGCACTGAAATTCTTCTACACAATAGAGCCTGTCGCCATTGATATTATTAGCACTACCCCCTATTCAACCAGCGCGCTCCCAGTATGTGTACAGATTTTCACTGGTGCATTCAACCATTTTTTCTCCCCCTCGGTTGATGCCAGCTAACAAAAATATATTGCCTAGGTGTTGCAAGCTTCCACATTTAAACAGAGGGCATCAGGAATAGTCCCTGTGTTCAGAAGAAAATGCCTTCCTTTGGTTAATATCTTTTATCAACAGTATGTAACTCTAGCCTGGTAGGCCATCGCATGTCTCGGGTAACCTCCTGAGAGCACCTACAACACAGACACGTCACGGTTACCAGTTTATTAGTTGTAGCATGCAAATTCCTACATACACTGGGTGTTGATACGTAACTCTTAGCGGTAGTCTGTCTGGCAGAACTGCAACAAATTGCCATATTGTAAGGACATGTAACACAGATACGACTTCGGCACCTGCGGTGCTACTATGTAAACATCATGGTAGTGGAGGTGAATGGTGTTTGTTTACCAAAGGCCTTTCTAGTGTGCCTGTTGTAGCCGGGATTCGAACTCCCAACGTCTTTTACCAAAGCGTAATCACTGTTCTATGCATGTTAGTTATGTGTAATTACAAATGAAAACATGAATAGACTGGCGATGCAACCAAAATGCCTTCCCAAAAGATTTGGTGACTTACCTAAAGAAACTGGACACACGACTCTATCGGCAGGTGTGGTCCGGTGTCAAGTCACATACGTGATCCTGCCAAATACATGACCCCGACACTACTTGGGGGTTTCCAAAATACGCGATACAAGGGGGAGAGGGGTTTAGTCGTGATGTGGGAGAGCTAAACCTAATCTAATCCCAATCGTATACGTCTCAGCCTAGTCCTGAACAATGATCCCAAAGCTACATGTAACCCTAACCCTAACTCTAATTCCAACACTTACCCTATCCCCAGCCCTAAACACCTGACCTCTCACGTATGTGGCAGCTCAAGGATTTGGGTCAACACCGGCCAGGCGTGACGTATGTCATTACAGTTGACCCGTGTGTAACTGCTAGTGCGCATGTGTCGACTACAATGAGGCACTACTCCAGCAGCATGTCGGCAGGGCATTTTATGGGGAGGGGTATAACTGAAATATTATCATGTTGTATTTGCTCCAGAGCAAATGCTGCCTTTCTAGCTATTGCTCATTTTTCAAGGACAGTCATCAGTTTGCTTTGATGCATTTAACACCTCTACATTAAATATTGGTTCAGTTGTAAAGTCCTAAATATAACCATTAACAGGTACTTATTATAAGGCACTGCCCTTAGATCTTGTTGGAGATTAATGTCAACTATCGTGTAGGAGTGTTCAGAAACAGTAAAAAGACTCACCACTGCTTCACTGGTCGGTACTAAGCTGGTCGCGTTCGTGATCACTGCACTGAATTCGCTTACCTGCATGGGCGTGTCTTATACTTAGATATTATTCGTTTGTGGATAATGACTTATGTAATAATATAATATAATATAATATAATATAATATAATATAATATAATATAATATAATATAATATAATATAATATAATATAATATAATATAATATAATATAATATAATATAATATAGCGTTAATGACCCGCTTCGGTGTATACAGTGTCATAATTCATGGTCGGTTACTATAACCATCGAATGAACGACCGAGTCCGCGAAGCCAGTCTTTTTATCAGAAGGAATAATTGCCTGATGTCTCGTTGACATTCTTGAACTCATGACGTAACTGATATTATGTAAGAAAGTCTTTTGACCAAATAGAAATTAGTAACTGACCGTTCAATCATCATAGAAAAGAAGCTGTCTCGAAAAGAAGGGCTATCTTTCAATGATTGCCTCAGACGAAACAGACACGTCTACAGGTAGACAAACGTCATGCTGCCATCTCTATGCTCTGATAGATCTACTTACAAAATTAGTACAAAAGCTTAGTACCTTCGCCAAGAAGATCATGTCCTGGGTAGGTGTATGTGTGTGTGAACTCAAGAGAGCTTTTATGATATGACATGTTGTGATATTTAGAAGGTGGGTATTCTTGATGAGATATCGAACCGATTAGATCCCCCTGGCGGCTTGTTGTGGTACTGCAGCGGAACAACCGGTTTTGATATCTCTGGACAAGCTAGGGTCACGAATTTTGGACAGTAGGCAGGCTTTATTGGGTAGGGCTATTTAGTACATACAGGGACAGTCGAGACAATTAAGAAAAGTAGCAGCTGCCAGTAACCATACATGTTGAAGCAGTATAACACACAAACATGAAAATTTACACTCGA